TAATTCCAGCGAAAATAAAGTATTCCACAGTAACTGTTGTATATACAAAACTGCAATACAGGAGAGCGTTCTACATGAACTACTTAATATATATAAACTATCAGTTCACTGATGTACCCAAAGTGGAGAGAACGGCTTTCCAGGAATACAATATAATCCAGTGTTTTGAGAATATACCGTGCATCTATCTACTTGAATTGTTAATATTATTAATGTATTATTAGTATCATTTTCAAATTCATTATTCAAATTCAATATTTTATGACAGAATTTCTCTAAATCACATATTGCTTGGGGGCAATGAGAGTTTTCGATGAGCGAAGCTTGCCTCAGCAGTTATCTGTCATTGGTTTTGTTGCTGAAGAATGGTGAAAATAAGCATATTTTGTCAAATTTGAGTTTGAATATTCCAATCAAGTGTCATAATTCTTAGGTTGCAGGCAGATAGACTGCTTTTTTGACGAATATAGTGCACGATTTATTTTCCAAATCAATGATTGTCAACTGTGTACCATGCAATTACTTTACCGCAGTTGCATACTCTTTTTTTTTATAGGTTAGTAGCCCTCACAACCCTAACCCATGCCTTATCTAAACCCCCGATTCGAGAGCCTGTGTACATATTACGCAATTTAATAATTAATTATTATTATTTATGCATCATATTTAGATTTTCAAGTAAGCACACAAACTGGAAATAGACAATGATGATCGATTTTTTACATTTTGACAAAATCGCGTACCTAAGGAAGGCAGTTTTCACGATCGTGTTGTTGTAAACACATGCTCGCTTGATCCCAGTAGCCATTTTGGTGGAAATCACGTTTTATCTTTTTAAACTTGCTTCGTTCCGCAATGGGAAAAAACAATACAGGAACGCGAAAATTCTAAACAAAAATCGAATCAAAAGTACATTACGCACCTTCCATGAGTTATAGAATTTTTGCATTCGCCTGTAGAAGGCGTCAACGTCCACAGAAATGCCAGCCATCGCAGTGTCTTCTTTTCGAAGTGGCAAAATGGCGGGAGCCAAACGTCGGAAAATTGTCGGATTGGTGGCGCTGTTGAGGTCAGAGGTTAAAGTAGTTTGACGATTGTCAGGTGGTGCAATACTGCATACATGTATACTAATTCCGCTCGTCAGAAAATGGAAACGCAAAGTAGACAGGAAAGTCCAGAATTTGTCTTGGACCATTTTGAAGAAGTTGAAGGACTAGCTGAAGAAATAGTCACCGATAAACATCAGGTAAGCAAGATAAAAAGATGAATTTAAAGATGAAAAAAATACAATTGTGGATCAATTATCATCTTGCTTTTCTGGTTTTAACCTTTTCATTTTCTCGCTCAAATTGTTATGCACTATTTTCTTATATTATTCAATATTTTCTAGAACTGAAACCTAGTTTTAGAGCAAACAGACAAAATTTGAGTAAATTTTCAGTTTTTACTCAAAAAATTTTGCTATTTTTGTCCAAATCTTCTGAAGGAATGTGCAGACTATGCACAGACAATGTAAAGTCAAACCACCCTGCTTGTTGCTAGAATTCGTGGATATGAGAGTTGTAAATATTTTCAGGAACTACTTGTGAGACCTATAACATTTTATTTTAAAAAGTCCTCAGTAATCAATCTTTCAACATAGACTCAAAGACAATCTAGACTAGATCGACTTTGATGTGCTTTGTCTTTTATTAATGTCCACCAATTTTCGATGACTGAAAATCTTTATTTCTGTTTCAATGGTCATACTAATTCTGTTGTGTTTCATGATGTGCTGTGAAGTTAATCAGATTCAGGCTGATACGGCTACACAAACGCACAGACTGGATTGTCGCTATCAAGAGCAGTGTATTCACCAATAGTGATGTCACAGCAATCGCTCTGATTGGTCAATAACAGTTTTCAAATATATAAATGTTTGATATGTTTATAAACCATACATTTTGTGAACAGCACTGTATCTGACAAAAAAAAATTCTAACAGTATTAAATTAATATTATTATATTAATTTGTTATGAAAAAGAATGTTAAGATCCTAATATCAATTGATTTGAATTCATTATCTTTTATTCAGATTATTGATTTAGATAGGAAAAGAAATAAGAACAGAGAAGCTCTGAGAGCGTTGGGTAAGATGCAGCCAGTGCCAGGCAAGGGTAAGAGCCAATTTCCTTGATATGTGTAGAGTAATCTCTGTCACAAAGTTGCACAGTGACAAATTTCATTAACCCTTAATCTTGCCACCCTCATGTACATTTATATTGACTTGATCAAATAAGAGTTGAAGGACCATCACTTCCAGTACTGTTTTGCATAAACACGCAGTATGATTGACAGTCAAGTGCAGAACAAAACCAAAAACATTCCAGGGCGATGTTTCTCCAATTTAGACGTGGTGCATTAGCATAAATTACAAAGCTGTTCACACAATGACATCACTTCCCACTGGTTCACCTTTCTCTGGTTGTTTTGTTAAGATGGCTGAGCACAGATGTGAGATGTTAAGTCTAAATATCCAAGGATGATATTTTATAATACACTTTTTTCACGACTAATACCAAAATTATAACTGGGTACTATATTATTTATTCAATGATGTTATGTTAATACTGCAAGATGACATAAGTGGAAACAGCTCATCCACATTTGTAATTTCCACGCAAGACATATCTACCGGTCGATAATGGAATATTTATATTATTCAATTGTACTCCAATTGAAAATATTTTAGACACTTGTGCCCCTAATTTGGTGTTTTTTCGGTCTGTGATTTCTCCAAGTTTTCATGTTTTGAGCTTAAATGGCAGAACACACCTTCCCAATACAGTTCCCCACATGGGAATTTGCGATTTGATAAAAAAACATTTGATCAAATTAAGTACAAGTCATTGACATTAAATACAAGTCACTGCACAATATCATTGTTTTGATATGATTTCTTCATTAGATTTGCATGTGATACTAGTATGGTTCTTTCAATTACATCAATACTGTTGATTCCGAAAACTCCAACCAGTAAGTTGAATGTAAACATTGCATGTGAATTTTGACAGCCTCAGTTTGGACTTGAGTGTCCGATATTTGTATGACGCCATGACGCTGTATTTTTGAATATATCCTCTATAAAATTGAGCTGTTGTTCAATGTTTATTCTGTAAAAACAAATTGGGGATTGGAGTGGCTATATTTATTTTCATAAAACCCATTGTGTAGATGCTCTTCTAGGAGTTTCTGACATACATATTCCTCATGGGCATAAATACTTATTTTTTTTATTTACATCAGTAAAAACATAAAACCAATAAATACATATAACTAAATCAAATGAAGAATATGATCAGTTGCGCAGCATGTTTTGAATTTTATATAAACAAACACTGTATTTTAAATGCATTGTGTACATTGCTATGACAACCATATATGGCATGACCAAAATTGTTCTTTTTTTTTTCTTGATCTTCGCCACAGTTCTTTTCTGAAACTAAGTTCATATTTCAGAATCTTTTGGACCAATTTCAGATGTGAATAGTCCAATCAAATAAAGTTTAGCTATGTCTTTCTATTTTTAGCTCCGCTGTCGACTTTGTCGAGCGGAGCTTATCATATGAGTGATTGTCCGTCTCCGTCTCGTTCGTGTCATGTTTTACTTTTTCGACTTCTTCTTGAAAACTACAAGCCTAAATGCTTTGATACTTGGTGTATATGTACTTTGGGTA